TCCAAAAAAAATACCAACATCATTCTTCACAGAACTAAAAAAAACACTCCTAAAACTCATATGGAACCAAAAAATAACCCACATAGCCAAACGAAGACTAACCAAAAAGAACAAATCTGGAGGCATCCCATTACCTGACTCCAAACTATAGTATAAGGCCATAGTCACTAAAACAGCATGGGTCTGGTATAAAAATGGGCACATAGAATGAAGCAGAACAGAAAACCCAGAAATAAAGCCAAATACTTACAGCCAATGGATCTTCAGTAAGACAAACAAAAACATAAAGTATCAAATAGAGAGGACACCCTATTTGACAATGGTGCTGGGATAACTGGCTAGCCACATGTAGAGAATGAAACTGGATCCTCATCTCTCACCTTATAAAAAAATCAACTCAAAATGGATTAAAGACTTAAATCTAAGATCTGAAACCATTAAAATTTTAGAAGATAAGATCAGAAAACCCTTCTAAACATTGGCTTAGGCAAAGCCTTCATGACCAAGAATCCAAAAGCAAATGCAACAAAAACAAAGATACACAGCTGGGGCTTAATTAAACTAAGAAGCTTCTGCACAGCAAAAGAAATAATCGGCAGAGTGAACAGACAACACACAGGGTGGGAGAAAATCTTCAAAATCTATACTTCTGACAAAGGACTAATATCCAGAATCTACAAGGAACTCAAACAAATCAGCAAGAAAAAAACAATCCCATCAAAAAGTTGGCCAAGGACATGAATAGACAATTCTCAAAAGAAGATACACAAATGGCCAACAAGCATATGGAAAAATGCTCAACATCACTATCAGGGAAATGAAAATCAAAACCACAATGTAATATTACCTTACCCCTGCAAGAATGTCCATAAACATAGTAGATGTTGGCGTGGATGCAGTGAAAAGGGAACCCTTTTACTTTGCTGATGAGAATGTAAACTAGTACAACCACTATGGAAAACAGTACAGAGATTCCTTAAAAAACTAAAAGTACACCTACCATCTGATCCAGCAATTCTACTACTAGGTATTTACCCAAAGGAAAAAGAGTCATTATATGAAAAAGATACTTGCACATGCATGTTTATAACAGTGCAATTCATAAATTCACGACTGCCAAAAAAAGATGGAACCAGCCCAAATGCCCATTGTTCAATGAGTGGATAAAGAATATGTGGTATGTGTACACACACACACACATACACACACCACGGAATACTACTCAGCCATAAAAAGGAATGAAAGAATGGCATTTGCAGCAACCTGGATTATTCTTCTAAGTGAAGTAACTCAGGAATGTAAAACCAAACATAGTATGTTCTCATTCATAAGTGGACGCTAGGTTATGAGGATGCAAAGGCGTAAGAATGATAAATTGGACTTTGGGGACTCAAAGGAAAGCATGGGAGGGTGGTGAGGGATAAAAAGACTACACACTGAGCACAGTGTACACTTCTCAGTTGACAAGTGCACCAACATTTCAGAAATCACCACTAACTTATTCATGTAGCCAAACACCACCTGCTCCCTAAAAACCTACTGAAAAATAAATAAAAAATCCAAAAAACTCAAAACTAAAATCCTGAAGTTTCCCATCCTTTAAAATAAAAAGAAGAAATAAAAGGCATCCAGAGATAAACTATCTCTATTTGTCAATGACATGATCTTGTACATACAAAATTCAAACTACATAACTACTAGTGCTAATAAATGAGTTTGGTAAAGTTGCAAGATAAAAGATAATAAAAACTCCAAAAATAAACAAAACAATTCCATTTATAACAGCATCAAAAGAATAAAATACTGGTTGGGTGTCGTGGCTCACCTCTGTAATCCCAGCACTTTGGGAGACTGAGGCAGGTGGATGACTTGAGCTCAGGAGTTTGAGACCAACCTGGTCAATATGGTAAAACCTCATCACTACCAAAAATTAAAAAAAAAAAAATGGCCAGTTGTGGTTGCAAGTATTGGGAGACTGAGGTGGGAGGATCAACTTTAGCCTGGGAGGTGGAAGTTACAGTGAGATGAGATTGTGCCAATACACTCTAACCTGAGTGACAAAGTGAAACTCTATCTCAGAAAAAAGAATACTCAGAAATAAATTTAACAAAAGAACTGCAAGATTTGTAAACAGAAAACTACAAAACATTATTGAAAGAAATTAGAGAGGTACACCTTCACCCATAATTTACCGTTAATTGATTTTCTATATGGTTGCCAAGACCATTCAATGTGGAAAGAACAGTCTTTTCAACAGTGATGGGGAAACTGAATAACCACATACAAAAGAATGAAGTCTATTTCACACTATACAAAAATCAACTCAAAATGAACCAAAGACCAAAATGTAGAAGCAAAACTATAAAACTCTTAAAAGAAAACTGAGGTGTAAATCTTTGTGATGTTGGATCATGCAATGGCTTCTTGGATATAATACAAAAAGTTACAAAAGAAAAAATATAGGAGAAAAGGTGCTGATTTTTAGACTTGATCATTATCACAAAATTGCATTTTCTGAAGTTTTATCCATTTATACTTTAACAAAAATGTATCAGTATATTTTTACCCCATACTGTCACCAGCAGAATCTACTGATAAACGTTTTGATCTTTTGGCAACATAATGTTTAAAATGTACTAATTGTTCTAATTTGCTTTTATGTTATTATTTACCTTTTTCTACTTTTTCACCTTAAAAAATTATGTTGAGATATTCACATATCACAAAATTTACCTTTTTAAAGTATGCAATTCAGTGGTTTCTAGTTTATTCACACAGTTGTGCCATCATTACTTTCTAATTCCAGAACATCCTTATTAACCCATAAACAAACCCTACCTATTAGTAGTCACTCCCCATTCTGTCCTACACCCAACACCTGACAAATGCTAATCTACTTTTAGTAACTATGTATTTCTCTATTCTGGATTTCTGATATAAATAAAATTATGCAACAAGTCGACTTTTGTGTCTGCCTTCTTTCACTTATCATAATGTTTTCAAGGTTCATCCATGTTGTGGCATACATCAGTAATTCATTCCTTTTTATTGCCAAATAATATTCCATCGTCTAGATATACTACAAACTGTATCAGCTCATCAGTTAATATGTATTTGGTTTGTATCCACTATTTAGCTATTATGAATAATGCTGATATCAACATCATTACAAGTTCTGTATAGACATGTTTTCATTTCTCTTGAGTATATACCTAGGAATGAAATCACTGAGTCATACAATAACTCTATGTTTAACCTGTCAAGGAACTGCCAGGATCTCATCTCAGTTCATTGCAATCTCTGCCTCCTGCGTTCAAGCTATTCTTATGTCTCAGCCCTCCAAGTAGTTAAGATTACAGTTGCGCACCACCAGGCCTGGCTAATTTCTGTATTTTTAGTAGAGACAGGGTTTCACCATGTTGATCAGACTGGTTTTGAACTCCTCGCCTCAAGTGATCTGCCTGCCTGGCCTCCCAAAATGCTGGAATTACAGGTGTGAGTCACCGTGCCCAGCTAAATTAACACAGTTTCTAAGCAATTCTATTTATATGAATATATTCTGATTATGTCTAGTTGTCCCTCCAAAACTACAGGTTATGCATCTGTGGATTCAATTAACTGCTGACGAAAAATATTTGGGGAAAAAGGAAAAGCAATTTTAAAAACTTCTATAAAAAATAATACAAATCTTAAAGTATAGCATGTAACAACTATTTACATTCTATTAGGTGTAATTCTAGAGATGACAAAGTATATGGGAAGGTATGCATAAGTTACATGCAATATTATGTCATTTTATATATAAGAGATGTGAGCATCCGCAGGGCCCCCGGAACCAATCTCCCATGGGATGACTGAGAGATGGCTGCACTTTCACATACACACAAGAGTTATCTACAAAAATTATAACTAGGGCATTGATTTTACAGGGTAAAAGTTTAGAAACAACACTTAGATGGGTCTACTTATGCCTAATGTTCATAATTTTGCTTTCAATTTGATATTTCCTCTAAAATGCACATGAATTTATTTTCTTTTGAGATTATCATTTTTTCCATTAGTTCTTATAATTAACCTTTCAGCTGAAAGGATGTTAAAATAAAAACATTTAAGCATTGACTATGACCCTATACAAGACATATCTAAACAAAGAGAACAAGTGAGGAAGAACAAAAATCATGTGTGAAGAAAACACTAGCAAAATTCTGCTTGATTAAATATTCTACATCAGTGTGAAAAATAATGTTGAACGAAATAAAGAATCTGAGAAAAAGTGTAGAACAGCTTTTTTGGTTGTATATTAAGTTTTATTATTTGAATATTTTCAAAAATCCCCAAATATCTGATATACCCATATTCATATAAATACAAATAGAATAAAAAGCCAAATAAAATATTATATATAGTTCAAAAAGGAGAGAAATAATTTTTAAAGCCTGTAAAATTATGTACCATTTGATTAAAAAGCAGCAACAATAATACACAGGTACTATTTCTATTATCTCCAAAGATATTTTCCTTTGGGGTGAAAAATGTTAGATCAATGGTTGTTCTGGCCATTGATCTGTCAGGGACAGAGGGCTTTTTAACAAAGGAAGTATAGAGAGAGGCACTAATCAATTAAAAATTACAAAGTTATAACTAATTATTTTAATATATCAATCTGGTTACTAAAAATCTAGTCATTCGATTAGACTTCTAAAATGATTTGAATATATAGTGCTACGTAAGTGACCAATGGCCAGAGACAACCTTTTATAAAAGTTAGCTATCAAAATTTCAAAATTAAACTATAAATTTCTATTTCAAAATTGCTGTTTTACATAAGAAAAAAAAAACCACCAAAGGAGGACCATTCTACAATAAAGCTATAGTATGCAGTGAAAGAGCATATTAAGTAAAATGTATTAGAGAAAATAATGCCATGATATTTGTATTTGTATCAAAAACTGAACAGGAAAGGCAGAATTATTTGAATGTGGGGAGGAAAGGAAACTTACATAAGTTGGTGTTTCCAAGCTATCTGTGTTGACCAGTACTGGAGGAGGATTTGCCTTTAAAGAAAAAAAAATTATAAATGTGTTAACAAGAAAATAAAAACATTACATATTAATGTTCACAAATGTTAGCGCTTTATGAAAGACTTGTTATTTCTTAAGTTATAATCTTATATGAGCTTTTTATATGTTAAAACAATATATCCTTATTTCAGCACCAAACAGAAAAAAATAAATGTTTAAGCAGTTAAACTAGATTTGCTTTTAAGAAATAAATTGCTATTTCTGCTAAAACAGCCATGACTTTCTTAAGTTTTACACAGGAGATCACCACAGCCTTCTCATAAAGTCCATGAATATTCTTTAGAGTATGATCAACTCTTCCTAGTTTGCTTAGAAATCACTGTTTTCTATTCCCAAGGATACCATTAAGATTCCAATCATTTGATCACCCAGGAAAAAAAATTATTCCCAAAAGTGAACTGTTTTTAAACAACAACAAAAAAAAGCCCATCAAAGAAAGGAACTATAAACTATAAACTTTCAGAAAACTAAAAATACATTCAATGTAAAAACCCCTGATTATTTTCAGCTGCAATGATTGCCTACCACTGTTATTCTAGACCCTCACAGAATTAACAGTGATTTATTACAGCAAGAAAAACAAGCAGAATAATGCACACCCTAGTTACGTCTGGATTGAAAACATCTTGGTTTTCTGGTTACGTTAGAAATTATTATGTATATGAAACTAAAGAATAAAATGCAATTAACACCAAATGAAAAATATATTTCCTGTTCATATTTAAAGTTATAAAAGTACCAAGTCCAGTAAGTTTCAGAAAATAAAAAAGATGACTACCCTTTAAACAAACTTTAGAGGATATGCTTATAAACATTAATAGTTCTACTTCAATTAACTAAAGAATTATACACAAAAGCTGTATTGAAAGAACATTATAACAGAAAATAACCATTTTCTTCCAAATGTATAGGCTTTCAATAAAGGTGAATATTTAAAGTTCAATTGACACATTATTTTCAGCACAGTACTACATCTGGATGCTATGATAAAATGCTTAAAGACAACCTAGTTTCATGGCTAAAAAATTATACAGTATGCAGCCAGGTGCGGGGTGGGTCATGCCTGCAATCCCAGCACTTTGGGAGGCCAAGGTGGGCAGATCACCTGAGGTTGGGAGCTCGAGACCGGCCTGACCAATATGGAGAAACCCTGTCTCTACTAAAAATACAATATTAGCTGGGCATGGTGGCATGCGCCTGTTGTCCCAGTTACTCAGGAGGCTGAGGCAGGAGAATCGCTTGAACCTGGGAGGCAGATGTTGCAGTGAGTTGAGATCACACCACTGTACTCCAGCCCGGGTGACAAGAGTGAAACTCTGTCTCAAAAACAACAACAAAAATTATACAGCATGCATTTGGGCTACATAAAGCAGTAAGTTAAAAATGAGTACCTAGTACTTTGTTGAGTCCCACCATTGAGTAAGTCTACCCTTGAATATTCCATGAAAGCCCACTTAATAAATAAAAATTCTAAGATTGCTATTCAAGCAAAGCTATTAAACTTAGACATTTGAGATTTTATAAATATTTCAAATGACTTATTTCCCAATAGCATGTTGAGACTGCCCACACTGATAACGTTTTACTTTGCTAAAAAAATTAATAATACGATTTTACTTTATTCGGTTTAAGCTATTGCAAAAGAAGAGGGCAAGAAAGAATAGGATATTTAAAGTTAGGAAAGAAATTACATTTTAAAAATACGATGGCAAGAGAGCCTTTTGGCCCCTCTGCCGATTTTTTAACAAACATGCAATGGAAAAAGTTGGTTTTTATGAAAATCTAATTAATACCATAATTATTATAATGTTAACTGCTTATCAGTACCAACTCATCATTATTGTATAGCATTACCTTTTGATTCTATTCATTTAGAAAATGTTGCTAATATTGAAATATATATAAACAGAATGACATAAGGTGTTATATTTACTTCAAAATAAAACAATGGAAAGTTCGGAGTAGGAGGGGCTGTGGATCGAATAAAAGTACAGGAGTTGACTGCTGTAGCTGGTGATGCATATATGTAGAGTTTGCTGAACTAGTCTTTCTAGATTTGAGTATTTTTTTCAATTTTGCATAATAAAAAGTAAACCAAAAGAAGTTAATAAAGTTGTGAAATACTCTGGCTCTGGGTTGCTATTAAGATATTGGCATTCAGGCCAGGCGTGGTGGCTCATGCCTGTAATCCTAGCACTTTGGAAGGCAAAGGCTGGTGGATCACTTGAAACCAGGAGTTCAAGACCAGAATGGCCAATGTGGGTGAGCAAAATTATGTTTAAGTCTTATTACTGATAGCTTGGGGCAAATTACTTAGGGGCTTTTTAGCTCCTCCTTCTGGAATATCCTTGCCTTTTTACTGCTTCTACCCCTAATCTCTAAGTGAACTACAGGACTTCATTATTGTCCAAGTTGGAAATATACACAATGGTATATAAATTTAGTAACAGAATAAGCATTTCCATAGCTTCCTATGGTTTGCAACACATTTTCTTCTACATTACTTCTCTAGAGCCTCACACAGTCCTCTTGGGTAAAGGCAGGTGTTGCTATTCTTTTAGAAATGGAGAAAATGAATTTCAACAATAAATGTGATTTCCCTGTACTCCAATGTCACTGAGTGGTAGAGGGAAGTATAGAGAGACCTAGAACAAGGTCTGAGATTACAGAAGGGTTTTTCTTCAATTGAAATAATTTCACGTAGACTCTTTCCAAGTCTTTTAGTTGTTGCTGTTTGATTTTCCATGTTACCTGTTCTACTACCCACTGTCTTGGTTAAGAATCCCAAAGTCTTTTTTTTTTTTAGACGGAGTCTTGCTCTGTCTTCCAGGCTAGAATTTTCTAAAAGTCAAGTTTATTGGCTGGGCACGTGGCTCACCCAAATTTTACCATTCTATTTCATTATAAAGGATCTAGTAGTGATTGCTGCTGTAACAGACTGAAGCAGCTTACGAAGTTTCAGAGGGCAATATTATATATTTTTTAATTGTGTTAAAATAAATTCTAAGATCCAAAAATTTTAAAATAGATGAAAATAGTTTAGAAAATGCACTTTTACAATGTGCACTGTATTTCTCCTTCTCAACATTTATCTAAGTTTCATTATGTTATTTGCTAATGTCTCTTTTTCCTCTACTCAATTATAAACAAGTGTTTTTCCAATGCAGAACTCACAAACTCTAGAGAATACTTCTTAGATTCTAATTTGAGACACAATGCATTAAAAGTTAAATGCTATGACTGAGGTGATCACTGTAGGTTAAAGTGATTGTAAAAAAGGGGATGGATTCTGGCAAGATGGCAGAGTAGGCAGCACCACAAATTCATCTCTCCACCTAGAAAACAATTTTAGTGGCAGTATCCATCTGACGTAAATATTTTGGAACTCTGTAGTCTATTGAAGGCTTGCAACTTCCAGATGAAGGCTTGGACAGTAAATTGTAGTTAATTTCATTCACTTGCAGCTTTAGCAGAGCAACAGCTACCCATACCCTATCCCTCAGTCAACGTGTAATTGCTTGCATGAGCCAGGGTGGGCAAAGAAAATCATGTTCTCCAAATATTGGAGATCTGTGCTCTACCTGCTGCTTCTAATCACAAAGGTGCAAAGAGACTGTGGATACTGCTGTTGCATCTCCTCCTCATCGTTGCAAACCCCACCCCAACCTCTCAGGCTGAACTGACTTCCAGGTCAAAGAGCTGGAGGGCTCCCCTACCTACACACCAATTCAACTTTCTTTTTCCTGTTTTGGGGAGCAAGGCTTTGAAGACTAGGACATTAAAAACCAACCACACATTTGGAGGAAATTACAAATCCACTGTGCATGCGCAGGGGACAGCACATGCACAGAAAATATTTAAGAAGACCGTAAGTTTACACTTGAGGCTGATCTTTGACAGCCTACAACAATCAGAAAAACAAAGAAACAAAAAAAGAAAATCCTGGAGAAGAAGGAGAACCTAATTTTCAGAGATACCCCATTATTAAGTTCAAACATGCTGCCTTCAACAGGAAAAGAATCACAAGGCATACAAAGAAACAAGAATAAATGGTTTATTCAAAGGAGAAATATAAATCAACAGAAACTGTCCCTTAAAAAAAAAAAAACAGACCTTACAGCACATCTACTAGACAAAGACTTTCTTAAAGAATTAAAAGATATGGACAAAGTCCAGAAAATGCTGTAGGAACAAAATGTAAATATCAATAAAGAGAAGTAAGAATTTAAAACAATTCAGGAACTGAGAAGTACAGTAACTGAAAATTCACAGGAGGGATTCAAAAGCATATTTGAGCAGGTAAAAAAAATTAGTGAACATAAAGATAGGATAATAGAAAGTACTGAGTCTGAAGAAAAGAAAAAAAAAAGATTAAAGAAAAGTGAACAGAGCCTAAGGGACCTGTGAGACATCATCAAGCAGACCAACTAATGCCCTGTGGAAGTTGTATGAGAAGTGAGAGATAAAAGAGTAGACAAAACATTTGAAGAAGTAATAGCCAAAACTTCTCAGATTTCATAAAAAAACATGAATATAAACATTCAATAAGTTCAATAAACAAGTAATGAAATCAAACAGACTCACACTGAGACACATTATAATGGAACTGTTAAAGGCCAAAAACAAAGGTAGATTTTTGAAAGCAACAAAAGAAGTGACTTGTTACATACAACAGATCCTAAATACGATTATCAGCAGACTTAACATCAGATACTCTAGAAGCCATAAGGCAGTGGATAGAAGTATTCAAAGTGACAAAATAGGAGGAAGGGGAAAAAAAACCTATCAACTAAGAATCCTATATCCAGTAAGACAGTCCCTCAAAAGTGAGGGAGAAATTAAGATGTTCCCTGATGAACAAAAGTTGAGGGAGTTTATTATCACTAGAGGTAGCATTTCAGGTTGAAATGAAAGGAAACTAGACAGTAAGTCAAAGTCATACAAAGAAATAAAGATCTCAGTAAAGGTAAATA